GGAGGCAGCCAATCAAGGATTCTTTCTCATTATTATTTTTTAAAATATATTTTATTAATTTTTTTTTTTACAGAGAGTAAGGGAGAGGGATAGAGAGATAGAAACATCGACCAGCTGCCTCCTGCACATCCCCTACCGGGGATATGCCTGCAACTGGTGTACATGCCCTTGACCAGAATCTAACCTGGGACCTTTCAGTCTGCAGACCGATGCTCTATCCACTGAGCCAGACCGGTTTCAGCTCTCTCTCATTATTAATATTTCTATCTCTCTCTCTCCCTCTCCCCATCTCTCTGTAATCAATAAAAATATTTTTAAAGCCCAGCTGGCATGGCTCAGTGGTTGAGCGTCGACCTATGAACCAGGAGGTCACAGTTCGATTCCCTGTCAAGGGCACATGCCCGGGTTGTGGGCTGGATCCCCAGTGTGGGGTGTGCAGAAGGCAGCCCATCAATAATTATCTCTCATTATTGATGTTTCTATTTCTCTCTTCCTTCCTCTCTGAAATCAATTTTAAAAAATGTATATATATTTTTAAATAATTCCCACCCCGGGCAAGCCCCCACCGCCCCAGTATGCCTGTGTCCATTGGTTATGCTAATGTGCATGCATACAAATCCTTTGGTTGCTCTTTAACCCTACTCCCCTGCCATTTTTTTTTTCTGGATATATTCTTGTTCATCCAATTATGTTGATCATTATATCCCACATAGGAGTGAGGTCATGTGACATTTATCTTTCTCCGGCTGGCTTATTTTGGCTTAGCATACTGCTCTCCAGATCCATCCATGCTGTTGCAAATGGTAAAAATTCCTCCTTTTTTTATAGCGGAGTAGTATTCCATTGTGTAGACGTACCACCGTTTTCTAATCCACTCATCTGCTGATGGGCACTTAGGCTGTTTCCAAATCTTAGCTACGGTGAATCGTGCTGCTGTGAACATAGGGGTGCACGTCTCCTTTCGGACTGGTGTTTCTGGTTTCCTGGGATATCGTCCTAGCGTGCTGGCGAGGATGCGGAGAAAAAGGAGCCCTCGTGCTCTGCTGGTGGGAATGCAGACCGGTGCAGCCACCGTGGGAGACAGTGTGGCGTTTCCTTCTCCTCCCCTGTTTTCTGTGTCTCTCCCTCTCGCCTGCCTGGGTGCCGGGAACAGGTGTGTGTTCCCTCAGCGCCTGCCTAGCCCGGAGGGACAGGAGCAAGCATGCCCAGCTGGCACCGGGGCGTGGGCGGACGGGACAAAGGCTCCTCTGGCAAACCACTGATGGCTCCGGGCTGCGGCTGTGAGGGGCGGGGAGGGCCGCTGTGCAGCTGTGCTGGCGGCCACGGGCACACACACCTGCGCTCCTGCTTGACAGGTCTGCCTGCAGCGAGGGGGGGATGGGGCAGCTTCCTGGCAGGCGTGGAAACCCATCCTGCCTGGGAGGGAAGCAGCTGTGGGCGCACCCCATTCCAGTGGGGGCGGGGGATGGGGGTGGGAGTGGGGGGGGAGTGAGACAGAGCCGCCCTGGGAAGAGCCTGATGCCACTGGGCCAGTAGGGGAAGTTCACTGGGGGGAAGAGGGAGGTGGGGGGGGGGGGCGGGGACACACATACACACACACACACACACACAGCAATGAATGCCATTGTTCTCCCGTGATTTCCACGTACAGATGGGAGTTCAAAAACCAAGGGCACTGCCTGGCCAGCATGGCTCCGTGGTTGAATGCCGACCTAGGAACCCGGAGGTCACGGTTCGATTCCCGGTCAGGGCACAGGCCCGGGTTGTGGGCTCGATCCCCAGTGGGGGGCTGCAGGAGGCAGCGGATCCATGATTCTCCCTCATCATTGATGCTCCTCTCTCCCTCTCTCCCTCTCTCTCTCTCTCTCTCTCTCTCTCTCTCTCTCTCTCTCTCCCCCCCTTCCTCTCTGAAATCAATAAAAATATATTTAAAAAATCGGAGGGGCGTGGGCATTGTGTTTGGGCTCGTTCCCTAAGGCGGTCAGGAGGCCTCAGGGTGGGAAGCGAGATGATCCCCGTGGCCGGAGCCTCCCGCTGGTGCACCCCCGCCCACGGCCTTGCTCCCGGCCGGGGCCTCAGGGGGAAGAGGGGAGGCGGTCCGGGCTTCTTGTTCGGGTCCCCAGGGAGGAAGAGAAGCCGGGGACCGGTGAGCCTGCAGGAGGCTGAGCTTCTCCAGGGAGAAGGGAGCAGGAGCCTCCTGCTGGCCCCTCAGCACCCACACTCCCCCACAGGGACCCCCCATCGCCCACCATGCATCTGCTCGGTGCTCAGAGCCTGAGGAAGGCACAGGAAGCCGGACCCGCCGGGGCCTTCGCTGCCAGCTTCCCGCCGCCCTGCTCTCATGGTGCATCTGGCCGACCCCCGGGGACCCGCGGGGGAGGCACAGGGCCCCTCTGGACGGCGCTTAGCTCCTGCTGTTGGGGCTGCCGCCTGGCCCCTGTCGGTTTTCATCTGGGAAAGCAAGGCCCCGCCGAGCCAAGGGCAGGGGGCCTTGTGGGGAACTGGCTGCTTTGCCCCTCAGGGCTCTCCTCTCTGCTTCTCTCCTCACAGCTGAGATGCTCCCCCCTTTCTCCCCTCTAAGCCCCTCTCCCCCGCCTCCTCCCACTCCCGCCCCAGCAGCCATGTGCAGAAGGCGTTAGGGAAGGCTTAGGCCTGCACAAGATGACCTCTGCCCACCTCCAGCCGGTGCTGACTGGTGCTAGCAGGGCCTCTCCTACCTCCTCTTTATAACACGTGGGAGCCCGCATCAGGGCAGTCTTACAACACGTGGTGACCTGGGACTGGAGATATGCAACCTGAGTGGTCACAGGACTTGGGTCTGAGAGACAGGAAGCTCTCCTGGATCACCGGGTGGGCCTGAGGTCTCATCAGAGTCTCACCGGAGCGGGGCGGGAGGTCAGCGTGGAGAGAAGACGCCACGCTCCTGGCTTTGAAGCTGAGAGGGTGGGCCGAGCGCCAGGAAAGCCGGAAAGGACACCTTCTCCCTGGGGTTCCCGGGAGGAAGGCAGCCATGCTGCGGGTGGACTTCTGACCAGAACTGTCAAAGGGACCGTTTATGTGGTTTCAAGCCACTGGGTTTGTGGCACGTTGTTACAGTGGCAACTGGAAATGAACACAAACGTGAACACACTAGAGGCCTGGTGCATGGAATTCATACATGGGAAGGGTCCCTGAGCCGAGCCAGCGATCAGGGCCGATCTGTGGGGCGGCCAGCAGGGCGATTGGGGGGCCCCTGCTGGCACCTACCTTGGCTCCCCATGGGTAAGAATGAAGTTCGGACTGTTTACCAACTCCCATGAGGCTCAGCACATGCAGGTCCTCACCCTCCAGCCACACACATCCTGCCGTGTACACTACACTCGCTCATGCAGGACTAGACCCTCCATAGCTGCGAAATGCTCTCCTCCTCCTCCTCCTCTTCACCCAAGCGGTTCTCTCTCCTGGGATGCCCTTCTTCCTCTGTGAATACTCTTCTGTGTTCCCAGTACCTTTGTACCTGAATATAGGTCCGTGACTTGTACGTATTTAGCTGTGTTTGTAGGCACTTATGGGAGCAAATAAATATGGGGCACGTATAGTCACCTTGCATTCTAGCTATCTTTGTAGCTCTTGTCTCTCTTGCTTGAAGCTCCTGGACGGCAGGAACTGTGCATGGGACAGAACCATGAATCTAGGTCATCACAAGGGACAAAAGTGGAATTCAAACTCCCTTAGAGACCTACGAGGGGAGAGATTTTGCATGAAGGGCTCAGTACCATGGTTGACCCAAACTGGGTCTGGGGGCAGCCATGCATAGAAAGGAATGTCCAGCCGAAACCGGTTTGGCTCAGTGGTAGAGCGTGAGTCTGCGGACTGAAAGGTCCCGGGTTCGATTCCGGTCAAGGGCATGTACAAGAGGCAGGTGGTCGATGTTTCTCTCTCATTGACGTTTCTAGCTCTCTATCTCTCTCCCTTCCTCTCTGTAAAAAATCAATAAAATATATTATATTAAAAAAAAAAAAGAAAAGATAGGAATGTCCAAGTGGCTTCCATAGGAACCATAGAGACATGGGTGGGGCAAAGGGAAGGGAGGGGAAGCTCTCAGAAACCCAGGAGGAGTGTGGGGTGTGTCTTTTGGGATTAGTGGAAGGAGAGATGTTCGCTAACTCTACCTTCCCACCGGGCTCTGAACAAGTGTGTCTCCTCCCTGCCTGAGTCTCCTCCGTGACTCATCCCAGCTCTGTCCTTTGTCATCCAGTTTCCCGAATTTCCAGCCCTCCTTCTCCTCTCCTCTCCTCTCCTCACCTGCACAGGGTGCCTGTAGTTTTGCCTGCCCAGAATCCCTTGGTGCTAGCCGTAGGTCCCCTCTTCTTTTCCTTGGGAGAACTCGTCCCTTCCACCAGAGTTGGCATTCATTGTGTGTGATGCTCAGTCTGGAAGGCGGGAGCCTTTGGGAGTGGGGGTGGGGAGGGAGGAAGAACATCGAAGCGGTTGGAACGCATGTGCCGAGGCATCAGGGCACATGGCGTGGAGGCACTGAGGAGCGATGGGGGAGGGGTGGTACACATGGAGAAGAGGATGGGAAGAGGGCTGGGGAAGGTAACGTGGATAAAAAATAGAGGGGGGGGAGGGTTCTGTGGAAAGTAACCTCACAAGGTGATCCAATCATAAATTCCTAACTGGGGCCCTGGCTGGCGTGGCTCAGTGGTTAGAATGTTGGCCCAAGCACTGAAGAGGTCACGGGTTCGATTCACGGTCGAGGGCATGTACCTGGGTTGCAGGTTCGATCTCCAGCTGTGGTCAGGGCACATGCAGGAGGCAACCAATCAATGTATTTCTCTCACATTGATGTTTCTCTCTCTCTCTCTCTCTCTCTCCCCCTCCCTTCCACTGTCACTAAAAATCAATGGAAAAAATATCCTCAGGTGAGGATTAATAAAAAATAAAATTCCTGACTGTGCAGGTCATGGAGGATAAGTATGCCCAGGCCTATGACTTCTTCAGCGAAGGTCTTTCTGTTTTGTTTTGTTTTGTTTTGTTTTGTTTTGTGTGTCATCCCTGCGTAGGGGCCATGCTAATCTTCTCTGCATCATCCCAATGTCAGTATATGTGCTGCCGAAGCAATCACTGAAAGTTTTCAACCACCAGCCCTACCCTTGCTCTTGTGCAGCTAGGTTAACACGCCTCTGAAACATCCTACAAGGGGATAGTCACCCTCCAGAGAGCACATAATCTTAACTCTCCTGCAATCCAATCTTGCCTTGCTTTCTCCCATCTTCCTCCTGGCCCCTCCTTCATTTCAAATGCATGAAAGAAGCTGCAAAGCTATTTATTCTCCAGAGCATTTGCGATCTTGCTCCTGGCGTATGTCATCAAAGAGGAGATCAAATAAACTCTAATAAAAATTCTCTACATGTCGGGACGTTTCCTACGTAGACGGTAAAGAGCCCCATCACCCTCGGTGCGAAGGTGGAGTCTTTCTCATTCTGTACCCTCCACCCCAAGCCGGCTCATAATCCCTCAATCAGTGTTTATTAAAATGAATTCGATCGTTGGGTCTAATTCCCTCTAGGGCCGTACTCACTCTTAAACTGGGAAAGTGAGTCAGCTAAAAATAAATAAATAAATAAAAATCATTTTCAATAGGCTTAGGCAGGAGCAGAGGCAGCATCCCAGGGCTGTGGGGTTGGCCCTGGAGTCCCCCTCGGAGTGGGCGGGGCTTTGGCAAGGCAGCTGGGTCCCCTGGCTGCCTAAACCATCCTCCTTGTCTCGTGCCCCTCCTCTGCCTCACGGGACCCAAGCAGCTATGACTGGGGTTGGGAAGCTGAGTGAGCAGCCAACTGTGCCACTGGACCCTCTGCGACAGCTCAGACTTTAGCTCTGGCTGGGTCAGAGGAGGACACATAGGGGCCTGTGGCCACAGGAAGTACCTCTGATATCCTGGGAATCTGTCTCCTGACTTTCCAATTCTGCTCTCCTTACTTTTTAAAAAAAATTAATTTCCATGGCCTCTTGAAACTCCTATTTGGCCAAGACAGTGAGTCAAAGCTCCACAAGGACTGGTGGCAAGCAGCAGTTAGCGTCTGAGTCATTTGCTGCCTAACACCCTACCCACCCAGAGATCTCACCCGGCAGAGTCCAAGCTGGTTTCCCACCACACCCCTCTCAACAGGACAGTCCCACCTAGTCAAGGCCATGGGGCATGCCAGAGGTCAGAGCACATCTCTGCCAGGCAGGACGGCTCTGAGATCATTCAGCTCGGGCCCCGCCCATGGTGGCCTCATGATGACGATTGCTTGAAAGGACTGTTTCAAAACTAAGAGGCAGACACTTAGGTCTCTTATTCAATCCTGGTTGAAAACTGAGGTCTGTTGCGACTCCTCATTTCTGTAGTAGGACGCAGGCTAGGTAGGCTGCTGTGACAGAACAACCTCCAGATACAGTGGCTAGGTTGAAATGGGAATTTATTTGTCCAGAGTTTTTAGGGAGACTTTGCCATTCTCCTTGCACAGGCTCCACCTCTGGCTCCAGAGTGAGTTACTTTAGTTCTTGTGATGTACCAGCTGATGGGAAGGAGAAAAAGGAGAGAGGGAGCACTTACCCAATGAAGAGAATAGAAATCACTTCTGCTTTTACAGACCATTGGTCACATTAAGTCATGTGTCCACACCTAGCTGCAAGAGAGGCTGGGACATGTAGTCTTTAGCTGGGCAACCATGTTCCTACCTAAAACTCTGTTATGGGAGAAGGGGAAAGTGGATATTGGAGAACAACCAGCAGCCTCTGACACTGCGAGGTTATCAGTCCTGGTGAGACCAGAGTCCATGAGTTTGCTGCAGTTGCTTGTGGCATCCTGGGTGATGCTGAACCACTCCCGGCCTCACCCACAATTTTCTGTCCCCACCATTGAGCCAATCAACAAGCCTAGCTCATGCTCCAATAAAACCTGGAATTGCGAAAGGGAAAGGGAAAACTCAGCTTTGAAACAATCATCACAAAAACAAGAGTCGATTATGGGAAAGTTAAAAGCCCTTTGTGGGGAGCCCCCTAGATCTGAGCTACTCAAGCGTGGTCCATGGATTTATCCTGGTCTGGGAAGTGTCACCAGTTTGCACAGGACGAAAGTACATAGGCAGAGAGTGAGCCTTTAGAAACTTTAAAGCTATGACAGAATAATTTCATATTGGTTGGCTATGATAGTGAAAATTACAGCTTGCATTTTTTATAACTTTTTTACACTTAATTTTTCATTTTTATTGTGTTTTACATAAGCACTGGTTCATGACAGATAAGAAAAAAACACAAACAAAACACCCCAAACTGTTCTTTTTTCACAGATAGTTTGAGAAGCACTGATCCAGGCCTCGGGAATTCTGTTCCGTTTCCACATGTTGCTTCATTCATCCCTGAGGGAAGTAGTGCTCACCCCATTTTGCAGATGAGAAAATGAAGGCTCCGAGCTCAGTCCCACAGCTGGAGACCGCAGAGCTGATGTGGCAGGCCTCCTGGGGAAGCCGGGAGCCCCCAGAGCACTGAGGGCGCAGGGACCAGCTCTCAGGCTCCTCGGGACCCAGGCTGCCTGCGCAGCCGCAGCCAGACCCAGCAGGCAGAGGCCGGGAGAGGCATCTGGGGAAGTTCCTGTGTGATGGCTCTCAGGGCCGTGCACCGTCCACTGCAGAGCCCTTAGCCACAGGCTTCCCTGAGGAGGGGTCAGGCGTGCAGCTGAGGGCAGTGCCAGCAGGAGCCTGCATGTGGGTCAGGGAAGGGGGACACGGAGCCACACAGGGGGCCTCGAACAGAGGAAAGCACAGTTCAAGACCACAGGGGTTCATGAGGAGCAGGTGCCTCTCAGTGGGGTTTTGCTTTGGAGGATCCTCCCTCCCTGGGTTTCCTGGCTCCCGGTTCTGTTCAGGGAGGAGCGAATGACCCAGTGAGAGCCAAGGAGGCCCGGTGAGGGTGGGGCTGAGGCCTGCCCTCTGCAGGGAAACCTGGGAGGGTGTGAGGCTGCGGCTGTGGGGCCGGCTTGCCCCAGGGGAGGAGCTGTTTGAGAATGGAAGGGACCCAGAGGAAGAATTCAGCAAAGAGCTGGGAAGAGGGACACCAGGCCTTCCTGACCGCATCTGAGGCCTCGGTCAGGGAGGCGAGGGCAGCCGCAGGCAGAGGCCGAGGAGAGCAGTTGACAGCAGGGATCTGTGGCTCATGGGGGGTCGGCAGGTACAGAGCAGCCCTGGGAAGTCTCGGGGGAGGGAAACCGAGGTGCAGAGAGAAAGGCCAGCTCAGATGCCTTGGGCCTCAGGAGGCAGCCCATCAATGATTCTCTCGCATCATTGGTGTTTCTCTCTCTCCCTTTCCCTTCCTCTCTGAAATCTATAAAAAAAATGCTTATATATATATATATATATATATATATATATATATATATATGAATGCTCATTAGTTCCCTGGCTGTGTGACCTTAAACAAGTGACTCAACCTCTCTGAGCCTCGGTTTGCATTGTCGTAAAGTAGAGATGGTAAACTCTGACTCCGGGCGGGCGGCTGCTGTGAGGGTTCACAGAGGCTGTGTACAGAAAGCTCCAGAACAGTCCTGGCAGGTAGCAGGCACTCAGTCCATGGCAGCTCTCACAGCTGCAATTGTTGACTTTGCTCCCTCTGCCCACCTTGTGAGATTTCTGTCCTCCTGGCTCAGGCATCGTCTCTCTGTCCTTGGCACCTCTCTCCTTTCCCTTTTTAAGGGCATCTCTGCCGCTCCCGGCGGCACAGTCCACCCCAGTTCAGACCCCCCTCGGCACCCTGGGAGCCTGCCAGCAGTCATGGCCCAACCGGCCCGCGTCCTGGGCTCACATTCCTGCTCACTGTAGTCAGGGATCTGCCTGAGGTCTGTCCTGGGTGTGTCTGCGCCGGGGAAGGCGGGGGCGAGGGGAGGGGAGGGGAGCGGCAGCTGTTCTATCAGCCAGTCACATCCAGGGTGAGGCCAGGGCACGGCCTGCCCGGGCCAAGAACAGGAAACAGGTGGACTTTGCTGAGGCCCGGATGGGGGTGGCCACGAGGAGGCCCGGGCCTGGGCATCAGGAGGTGCGTGGTGGAATGGGAAGGTCTTGGTCTTGAGTTCCCTGAGGCCCTTGGTGGGGCTTCAGGTTGCTCTGGGACACGGCGACCCATGGGCTCATGCTGCTGCGTACTAAAAATTGTCTCGTCGCCGTCCGCCTCTCTGTTGGGGAGCAGGATACGTTGCTATAACGAAAGGCCCCCAAAGAGGACAGCATTAAGTGAGGCAGGACTTTCATTCTCTCTCACATCCCAGTCTGACAGGGCGTGTGGCTGCTTGTGAGTGCAGTTTTCTTCTGTCGTGTTCTCCTACCGTCCCCAAAGACAGATGTTCTGAAACTGGATGTTCCCAACGTTCCAGATGTTTTAAACGCGGCTGGTCAGGATCCGGGCTCTCTGAAACTTCATGGGGGGAAAAAAAAAAGGCATCTTGATGTCCACCAAGGTCTGCCTGAAAACGAGCACTTCCATTCTGACATCAGGCCACACACACAAACATATCGGCAGCCTCTGTGACCTCGTCTCCCATAGAAATCACAGGTAATGTCATGTCACGTTCAGGTGCAGAGACTGCGAAATGCCGTTTATCCTCCACAGCATTCCTTTGAAAGCAGGGTAAGTTTGTTCGGCCGATTCCTAGATGGTTCTTTAACGCGTATTATACTATTCGATCGTAATTCTTTCATGTTTTTCTAACGTTTCAATATGGTGGTTGTCCTTTGCAATCTCATGATTTTAAGGACGTCATTCCAAACAGCCAAGGCAGGTCCCAGGCGAACCCTCCCGCCGAGTCCAAATCCCAGCCCGACTCAGGCCCGTCCCTCCAGTGGCTCGTGTTCCTCTCCTGCACCATCAGCTCCCCTCTCGGTGGAGTCATTCCCGTCGGCATGGAAACACACTGTTATGTCTCCATCCTCAGCACCCTCCTCCCTCGCCGGCTGCGGTCCCGTCCTTTGTCCCCCTTCTCAGCAAACTCCTCAGGAGAGTCTACACCTGCTGACTGCAGTGCGTCCCCTCTTCTTCTCTCTGACCCCCTCCCGTCAGCCCACAGAAACTCCTGGTGACGAGGTCCTCAGAGAC